GGCAGGAAGCTGCCATGCCTGGTTTCCTGCCACCCTGCCCCGCTTCCGTGGAGAAGTCTCAGTCTTTGGAGGAGCTTGATCTTTGTGGCTGGGCGACTGTGGAAGAGCTCCGATCTTCACTGTGGAGTGCCAGTCTTTGCAGTCAGAGCAGAAGGAAGAGAGAGGCTTGATGGACACTGCCGCAGCTCCTGCTCCTCCTCTGCTCTTCATTGTTTTCTGCCAGGTGAACTGATGTCCTTTGCCTTAGAGCCAGTGGAATATGGACTGAATGCTCCATTAACTGTGAGCTAAGTAAACCATTCTTTCCTTCATTTTGAGTGCTGGGTATTTGTCCCAGAAATGAGTAAAATGTAACTAAGACACACCTTGTTGGGCTTTCATTTTAATGATTTTATTTTACTTTTTTAGTTATATGGTTTGGTTTAAGAATAGACATCATTCACCAACTTTTTTTATATCTTAACTGAAATTATTGCCTGTAATTATTTTAAAGCTATTCTAAGCATATTTTATATTTGCTTCATTAGTGCATTTATTATAAAGCTTTAAATGTATGCTAACAAATTTAGGTTTTATTTTTAGACTATTATACTCTTTTAGTTAAAATGGTACATGTTCATTATAAAATACCATGTAATACTTGATAATGACAGCAAATTAAAAATGGACATAATGTGACTTTTCTCCAAAGAAGATATACCGGTGTCTAATAAGCACAAGAAAAGGTGCTTGATATCATTAATGCCCAGGAAATAAAAATCAAAACAACAATAGTGCCACTTCACATCCATTAGGATTATTTATTATTTGTTTTTAAAAACAAAAATAGCAATTGTTTGTGAAGATATAGAAAAATTGGACCCATTTTACATTGTTAGTGGAAACAAAATTGTTATAATCACTGCAGAAAACAATTTTGTGGTTTTTTATTGATGGTTACACAACCATGTGAATAGACCTAATGTCAGTGATCTATTAAAATGTGTTGGGCCTTCCCAAGATCGAGAATGCAGACACTTAAAAATAACAACTCAGAGATGAAAAAAAGGTGATAGAACCCTGTGATTCTGGAAGGGTCTGACAGGAAATTGCCGCCTACAGAGAAGAAAAATTGGAGACAGAACATAACATACAAAAAGAAGAACCAGCACTTCTCTTTGGTTTGTGGCTCATGGTTCATGAGAAAGGAAAATTATATCTACAGACACAGTGAAAGTACTGATCTCCAGAAGCCTTCAGAGAGAAAGAAAACAGTGGAATAAAACAGCAGATGCTGTCTGGTACCAAAGCTGGTGAGTAACTCTAGTCCCAGCACCAGACATCCACTGAAGAGAGTGGTACAGTAAGCTAGGGAGGGATCAGCTGAACCTCAGACTCAAAGAAGCTGCAAGTTTGGCTTCATTTCAGCTTCCAGTGTTATGTTCCAACAGTGACTACATGAGGGACAATCACGGTAGAAATCTATGATCAGGGAGCTGCAGTCAGGGTAAGGAGTCAACAGACTATCAAGGGACATACAAAGTGTATTGGCTGCAGACTGGTCACAGTCCCAATTGCCCAATCTGGAAGCTAAGATCAGCCCCACATCCAGTACAAACTACTACATGCTCTGAAGAGGCTGGTTCCCCAGTAGGTTTGGGCTCTTAATGGCTACCACAGGAATTTTATTTTTTTTTATATCTTAATATTTTTCTTTCTATTTTTAGGTCTTTATCTACATTTGTTTGTTAATCTATTCATCAATCTTCCTTTCCTCAATTATCTTTTGATTTAGTAGTTTCATGAGTGAATGTTCTCTCTAATTCTGGTTAGCTTCAATAATCACTGGCTCACTTCTTCATTCTTTCTGTTCTCTTCTCTTCCCTACTTTTCTAAAGCTTGCATGATCATCCAGCCTTGATTCCACTATATTTCTCTTCATTTATCTGTTTTATCGACTCTCCCTCTTAAATTTACCAATATATTGTAAAATCACTATACTAAGGTAAACAGCTTGCATACATGCTTCCAATTTATGATGGGTTTTCTTATATAACTAGATTTTCTTCCTCTGGCTAAAACTACCAAATTAATAGTTGTCATAGTTTGTGAATTTCTATGCTGTGCTTCATGCTACTGCCATTCCTAATTGTACTGCTTTAGCCAGGATGTCATACCTGTTGTAATTAATTATTCTGCCTTATATAACCATATCAGAAAGCTCTGGAGTAATAATCATCATCACAGCCTAGCAGCAAAACAATGGGGACTGCGCCAAATAGATACCAACATCTCACACTTAAAAAACTGGGAAAGTGGGACCTTGGGAGAGACACAAAAGCAAAGAACCTCTCTGACATAGAAGTGCACTGAAGAACAAATTTCATATGGAGGCCTTGATGCTAGTGATAAAGCTATCAACTACAAAAACTTACAAGATTCAATGAAGAAAACAAAATAAAAGTTTTAAAAATAGAAAACAGTAAGACAGAGAAGTAAAATTGAGCTCCAAACCTCCAGCCCACCTGGAATAAGTCCAGGATACAGTGAGATACTACCAAATTAAAAACATGAGCTTTCTGAAATGATAGCAACAGAAGTAAAGACACAAATTCATTAGACTATAGAGGAAATCATTAGAAATAACCTTTCAGGTAAAAAAAAGAAATGATGATGATAATGAAGAACTTTTTCAGCAAATCTAGTACAGACACAGATTTTTAAAAAAATTACAAAAGCATACAAAAATGATGAAGACCATGAATTCCCAACATAGGAAAGAAATAAAATGCATGAAACATATGCTGAAAATTGAAAATTCCATTAAAACTATGTGAATGAAAGTGAATAAAGACTATCATACTTGGAAAACAGAATCAAGATCAGTGATCACAACAGAAAAGATCTTTCTAAGATAACAAGGGGGCAGCAAATAACAGTTCAGCAGCTGCAAAATAATGAAAAGAACAATAATATAATTGGCATCAAGGAGAAAGCAGGAGTCAGGACAAAGGTTATAAAAAGATTTTTTGCAAAAGTAATAAGCAGAAAACTTTCCAAGTAGAGGAAGAGAATTTTGCATACCTTAAGTGAGGCATATAGAACTCCAATTAGATATGACCAAAATAAACCTACACCCAGGCATATAATAATCAAGATTCCAGAAATTCAGCACAAAAACAATATTAAAAGCTGTTAGAAGTCCTAGCCCAGGCCTGGTGAGTGTGTGGGAGAGTTTCCTGCTACCCTGCGCCGGTGGGACCTACTGGTCCCAGCCCAGGCACAGCATGGGTGAGACTCTCTTTCACCCACTTGGGATGACCCCACCACTCTGTAGTACCCCCCAACCCCCCACCAAGTAGCAATTTCTGCCACATCCCAGGAACCCCCGGAGCCAGTCCTAGCCCAGGCCTAGTTACCTTTCCATCAAATACAATATCTGTGAATGGAAGGTCAAGACTCGGCCACGCCCTGTCCTCTAAGGGCCAGGAGAGCTGTTAAGTGTGACCCCACATATGTCACCTCCTGCTTCTGCCTTCTGGACTTGCTTCACGCCAATGGAGAATGTGGGCGAATGTATATTCAGATGTACACTAATATATTACCTGTTAAAGTTTGAGATTTTATGCTATGGCTATTATGCCAAAAGAAGAATTATTATAATTTATAATTTGAGGGGGTTTCATTGTAAAAATTAAATATGCTGCTGTAGAACTTTAACACAAGCTATAAATGACTTCATTGTTTTTCAAATGAGGAATAATTACATTTTATTGAAGACATACTCTCTCTAGTGGTGACTTCAAGTATAAGTGAAGATTTGTAGACTTTTCTTATGAGACACTCCAGCAAACAGACCTGAAACTTACTGCCTCAGTGTTAGTTTAATTGGAAATGTTTATGTTACATTTCAGGCTGTTTTGTGCTGAAAGAATGATGTAGTAAATCAGCAACATCAATTAAGTATATAAATTTCAATTATTTTCATTGATGAATCATTAATATACAAGATTAGTTCATTCATTTTATAATTACAAATCAGTGTCAAAGTTAGAGGAAGCATATTTCAATACTGTATGTACATGAACACTTGGTGCTTTAGTCTTTAGAGTATAAGTTGCACAGGAAAATTTTAAATATTTTCTGTATATAATTATGACACAGACACACAAATATTACTTACTTTATATGCCAAAAGCCTTAAAAATCTTTCTGTGAGAATATTGATAATATTGTACAATTATTGCACATTTGGTATGTAGAAAGGAATAGTAGGCATATATTCATATTGGAAAACTTTATTATTTGGAAGTTCCAGAAATTCTGGTTTATTTCAAGTGAAATGAGAAAATAGTCATGTGTTGTTCAGATGCTATTATTCTAATTTACTATACATTTACATGAAAACTCAAATGGTGAAGCTACACAGCACCTAATTTGTCAAGGCCTAGAGCTTTTTGGTATCCTCTCTCTGCTTCAAGAATTTAATTTCTCATTTATTTTAAAAGATACTTTCAAACAAGCTGATATTAAGTTGGTTTTCCCTGAAGCTGTTGAAATATCTATTGCTTTAAAAAATGTGATTTCCCTCTCCTGTTTAATAAAAGCAAGTTATTAAAAAAAAGCTGTTAGAGGAAAAAAAGACAAATTGCTTATAAAGGAAAGCCCATTAGACCAACAGCAGACTTGTCAATATAAACCCTGAAGTCAAGGAGAGCATGAAGTATTTCAAGTCCTGAAAGAAAACAATTTCCAACCCAAATTGATGTACCCTACAAAAATATCTTCAAAAATTGATGGATAAATAAGATATTTCCAAGACAAAGAATAGCTTAAGACAGTAATGATCACTGAAACAACACTATTAAGTTTACTAAATGATATTTTAAAAATATAAAAATGACTAAAATTCCAATAACACCAATAGAAAGAGGCTACCAGGCAGGGGAAGCAACTGAAGAGTGGAAGGACAGGGAACCAAGAGCAGAAATATAATATGGCAAAGATAAGACAATACATACCAGTTTTACTTATTAATGTAAATAGTCTCAATTCACCTGTCAAAAAGAAACAGTGGAAAGAATGGACCAAGAAAGAAGTTTTTAACAATATGCTGTATACAAGAAACATATTTGGCTCAGTGCAATCAGCACTTCTCTGGCAAGTGTAAGGGCCGGAGTTCAATCCCCGGTTGTGAAAAAAAAAAAAAAAAGAAAAGAAAACACATTTAATGTAAAAATTCATAAGCTGAAAGTCAAAGGATGGAAAATTGTACTCCATATGAATAGGAACCCAGAAAAAATCAGAGGTAGCTATTCTATTTGCAGATAATTTGAACTTCAAAGCAATAACAATCAAAACAGATGAAGAAGCTATGTTCACTACATACTTTATATTTATATATTTTGCATATTTATTCTCTTTTAAGAATTATGGTAGGCAGGGCATTTATGATTACTAGGGAAAACAAAACTTATTAATATCAAAGAGAAATATGAGGGCTGGGGAGATAACTCAGTAGAATAAGCCCTTGCCTGGCAAGTGCAGGGTCCTGAGTTCAATCCCCCGGTACTGCAAATAGAGAGAGAGAAAAAGGAAGAGAGGAGGGGGGGTGAGAGAGAGAGAAAGAGAGAGAGAGATGGAGAGAGATGGAGAGTGAGATAGAGAGAGAAATTAAGAGTTAATGTAGCATAAATTAAGACACTTAACTGACTTTAAGAGCTCAGGGAAGGCTTGCCTAAGGAGTCAATATGTAAAATGCCATTAAACAAATGAATAGAAATTAGAAAAAGAAAAGTAGATAAATTCCCAAACAAAAAAGCAAAGGCCCTGAAACAACAGACAAATGTAAAGTAGAATTGTGGAGTATTTAGTTATTCAAACAATTTTGCAGAAAACAATTTAACCTAGACCATTAAGTTTTAACCTTCCAACATTTGCCATTTATAAGTCTCACCCTTGTATAGGTTCATCTATAGATTATTTTTTAAATTCTCCATTCTATCTAAGACAACAATAAGACTTTTGTCTTCACTCTATTGTTTTCTTCTATGTCCCAACACTTTGATAATAAAACACATAAATGCTCAGGTAAGAACAGTGATTTGCAACATAGAATAGAACTGAATAGTCTTTTGATTTCAGGAGAAATAATTCCTAAATTGTTAGGTACATACAAACTCAAGAGTTTTTATAACATCCTGGCGTATTTTCTACTTAAGCATATGTAACAAATTTTTCCATTCCTATATTTAGAAAAGGTCAGTGCTTCAGCTAATTATCTTTTATATTCACAATTTTAAGATCTTGTGTGTATTTCTGTATATGTAGTAAAACAGGTTAAACTCAGAGCCTTAATACTTAACTTCATCCCCAGCCTTTTCTATTTTTCAGTATGTTGCAAAGTTGCTCAGGCTAGGCTTGATTTCTGATCCTTCTGGCTCAGTCACTCAAAGTGCTAAACTCAGACTGGCCAGACAATCAGCTGACTAAAGTGCTTGCTTAGGCAAAGCACAAGGACCAGTTCTGTGCCAGCCCTATTCCTGGGGCACATTGCTGAGACAGTGACTGAGACTGGGCCTGGTGGCATGAGCCTGTAATCCCAGCTCTTAGGACTCCCAAAACAGGGGGATCACTACAAGTCCAATCTGTAGAGTGAGACTCTGTAGACCCTGTACTAAATATTTTTTTTTAAAAAGTGTTACACTTTTTCTATATTGACAAAATACATCAAACTTAAATAACATAATTGGTTAAATGTTTGGAAGTCATTCTGCTGTCTTTTCTGTTTCACTATCCTTTAGAACCCCAGGTTTCTATAAAAGAATTGCAATACATGCACATGTTTTAACAACATCATGAATGCTAATAGTTTTCTTTCTCATAGCATGTTGAGCTAAAAAAATAATTAGAAGATTTTCATTCAGTTTCACACACATCATTTAAAATCATATACCAGTAGCTGGCGAGATAGCTCAATGATCTAAAGGGCCTGATTAGGCAAGCTTAGGCAAAGCACAGGGACAGCAGTTTGATCTGTGGCACCACATGCTGGGTCAGCCCCACCAGGGCTGATCTGGCAAAAAAATAAAAAATAAAAATAAAAAAATAAATAAATAAATAAAATCATATACCATATATTACTGAATTTCTTAAATCTTGAACCCACTTGTTATGGTTTGTATCTAGTTGTCCTCCCAAAGCATCATGTAGGTCATGGGGCAAACTCTGCTGGAGAAGAAGCAATGGCTTGAGGGGCAGAGTCAGATAACCAGGGCAGAGTTCAAGGTGTGGGAACAGAGAGGCCCAAACCATTAAACTGACAGCACACACTGTCTGTCTCTTCCCCCCACCCTGTGTGGTCTCTTAGAAGTTTGGAGCAGACCATCCTGGACACAGTGGCATCCCAGTCTCTCTTTCAGACCACGTAGCACGGAATGGCAGTGTCTTGAGGTCTTGCTATATAATTCAGGCTGCTTTCAACTATGAAACTTAGGGTAACTGTGAGCTAAATAAACCTTTCCTTCTCTAAGCTTGAGTATCAAGTATTTGTCCCAGGAATGAGAGAAGAGTAACTAAGACAGAATTTGTTCCAGAAGTGGGGTTGTTGCTGTGGCTAAACCTGACAATATGGATTACAAGCATTTAGAAATGGCTTATTGGAAGACATAGGAAAGGTTTGGAGATGATGCCAAAGAGTGAAGCGCTGAAACAGCTTGGGCTGTTCTGTAGGGGAGATTCTGATCAGCGCTCAGACCAGAAAACTGATAGAAAGCCAGCATGTAAACACCAGGCTGAGGAGGTTACTGCTGGGAAGAAGGACTGCATCGATGGTTGGACTCCAGATCATTTGTGTTTTTGCTTGGCAGAAAGTTTGTCTGCATTTTGCCCATGTCCAGAAACTTTTTCTGAGACTGAAGTTAAACATGGAGCACTAATTAATCTTTCAAAAGAAATCTCAAAGCAGCCAATATTGGGGCAGTGGCATGGTTATTTATTTATTTATTTATTTATTTATTTATTTTACAGTATTGGGGATTGAACTCAGGAGCCTGTGATGACATGGTTATTGTTGGGGGATCTTAGTCAGATTTATGTTGAGAATGAACAGCAAGAAGCTCAGCAGAATGATCTAAAATTGAGTTTGGCCAGAAAAGATGCACCAGGAAGAATGTGGAGTGCAAAAATAGAGCTGAGATCTCCATTGCTCAGGAAGGAAAGAATAGAAAGGATAGCCTGAGGACATCACAGGAGGTAATAGGTCTCCATTCTTTGCAGGGTGAGAACCCAAGCACAAGGGACTTTGCTTTGAGGAGAAAGCTACAGAGCCCTATTTTCCAGAATGGAGGCAGCAGGCACACAATGTTCCAGAATGGAGGTGGCAGCCATGTCAGATTACAGAATGGTGCCAGCATGGAGAATTTGTTTCTTGGAATCAGGGTCAGAGTGCCCAGTGATCCAGGCACTCAACCACTACAGCCAAGAGAGAGGAAAGCCTGGCTACTGCTCCAGCTGGCAGCAGACATTGGCATCATCCACATGGCACTGGTTTTAGGTGAATGCAGAATGCAGGCGTTCTGAGGTTAAGAAGGCTTCCACCTAGATTTCAGAAGGAGGCCTGGGAGGCCAGGCAGTGTGCCCCTGAGAGGGCAATGTGTGAATCTGTGAGTGAGAAGCCTATTCAGCGGAAATCACAGAAGTTTGGAAAAGCGAGGAATGTGGATCACCTAAGGGAAACTGCGTAAAGGGAGTAAAGCCGGCCTAAAAGAGAAGCCATGGGAACTACCACTAAGAGCACCACAGGTGCGGAACCACATGGAGTTCACAATTTGCCAGATTGCTTTGGATGTTCCACTTAGGAACAATACTTAAGGATGTAGGACTTAAGCTTTGGATGCTCTACTTAGGATGTAGGACTTAAGGCTTGCCCTGCTGGATTTTGGACTTGTTTAGGTCCCAATGGTTTTTTATCCTTCTGTGTATACCTTTCCGAATAGCATTTATCTTGTGCCTTTGAATGTTGAATTATTTAACTTTTCATTTGTACAGGGGCTCACAGTTGAGAGAGTTTGCCTTAGATCTAGGGGGTGCCTTGGGAATTTGACTTTTCAGCAATGCTGAAACTGTTGGGACTTTGGCAACTCTCAGCGATGGATGAAAATGCCTTTTGGACAAAGAGATATGCAGGAGACTTTGGGGGCCTGGGGGCAGAATATTATGGTGTCTATTTGTCCCCCTAAAACCTCATATAAATTATGGGACAGACACAGCTAGAGGAGCAATGAGTGGTTTGAGTGGTAGAGCCAGAGAACCAGGACAGGGCCCTAGGGGCAGGGCCACAGAGGTATGAACATTTAAACTGGCTAGCCTGTGCTTTCCGAGAGATGTGGAGAGGGTCATCCTGCACACTAAGGCATCCCAGCCTCTCTTCCACTATCTTGAAACCTCCAGTAACTGTGAGCTAAAGAAACCTTTCCTTCCCTCATTTTGAGTGTCAGGTATTTATCCCAGCAATGAGAGAAGAGTAACTGAGAAACCACTCAATTGCCTTAATTAGCAAAATATTTTCATACAGATGTCTATTTAAAATGTTATAAAACTCCTTCATTTTTACTGTTTGGAAAATGGATGTAAGTACTGACTTGCCACATTTTACTGCAGGTTCTATGTAAAATATTACATAACTTTACCCCCACTTAGAAAAATAAATTGGGGCAGGCCTGATAGCTCAGCGGAATAAAGTACCTGCGTAGGCATAGCACAGCAGCTAGGCTTCCATCCCTGGGCCTGCCATGCCGGCCCTGCCCTCTGGGTGCACTGGAATGGCAATTGACATTGGGCATGGTGGCTTGTGCCAGTAATCTCAGTGCTTGGGAAGCTGAAAACAGGAGAATTACTACAAGTCCGATCAACATAGTGAGACCCTTTTGACCCTGTAGAACCTGTCCTAAATACAGAAAATAAAAGAAAAAAAGAAAAAGAAATCATTTGGAAGTTTATTAAACAGTTTGAAATTATTTTTCTTGGTGTTTTTATTGCCATTTTGTATTCCCAAATGCCACAACACATTTTTTAAATTTTATAACTAACCAACTACCTCCAATTGGTGAAATTTTATAATCGATAAAACCATGTATGATCTTTAGTATTACAGTCATGTGTTCCTGATTATTCAGAGGAAGTATCAAAATTAATTTTTAAATATCTTCAAAATGTAATTGTTTAAAGCTATAATGTTTGAGAGTATATACAAAGATTTTACAAAATTCAACTTTTTCATGTTTATTTGATTTAAAGAAAATAAAACCATTTTCATTTCTCATTCATCATTTCTTATTTAAGAAAAAAATCTCCCCAAGTTTGATCCCCAGTCCTGAAAAAAAAAAAAAAAAAAAAAAAAACTCTTAAGAGTCTAGACACTTTGCACATAGTTCTTAATACCAATTTTGACTACTAAAATTTTTTTTTAAATATTCTAAGAGATCTTGGAATATTTGGATTACTTTGGGTCTATTAAATAAGTCAGTTTCTCTCAGCACCTCAAAAATACAGCAAGAAATATGAGATTTAAGGTATAATAAAATATACTGATAATCTTCACCTTTAATATTCCTTTCATATACAATGGCTTGAAATTCTTAGTAAGAGAACTACCAATTGATCAAGAAGCCTATTTGTAAAATGTTTTTCATGTTACCTTGGATCCGTAATACATGGCTACTAACAGCATGCTGGGGAGAAAGAGAGATAACAAAATCTTACCAAATATATAGATGATATGCCAAAGACAGTAGTAAAGCGCATTGCAAAGTCACTGTCAAACTGCAAGCACTCCTCTAAATAAAATAACTGTAGCACAGAAGTGATAAGCACATATTGTGGTTTATTCAAAAGCATTTTAAATCAATGGTGATTTTTTAAGAGTAAATAATTTGGTTAAATTGACTAAGGAAAGGTTTGCATAACAACATTTACGGGTTGTTTAATTAAAAGAAAAATACATTCAGATATGTATGATCAGTGTTTAAAGCAACGAAAGAAATGCTGAAATCAAATCTCTAAAATAAAACACATCCAAAATAAGTTTCCCAGGAAAACAGGCTTATTATGTCATTAAGATAAAGGAAAAAAAAGCAGATTTCAACATATTGCTATATTCCTTTTGTATTCAATTTCTTCACAAGCCAGGCTATAAACATCAAATCTAAATTACTTACAACTTTGGTCTTCACTTAGCCTGCAAGTTAGATTAAATTTGATAATGTAAGTAGTGTGCAGTGGGGCATATATGTAAGTACTAGCAATTTGGGAGAATGAGGCAGAAGGCATTGCTTGAGACCAAGGAGGCCAGGAAGGAAGGAAGGAAGTCCACAGTCTACACTGTACTCTACTAAAAGCTGATATTCTATACCTTAAGTTTTATACATGTGTCCAAAGTAAATCTTTGTATATAACAAGTATCAACTCAAAAAGGTCATTGAGGAGGACTCAAAGAAATAAAAAAGTATGCAAATGTAAAATGCTTTAATAAAATTAGTTCGTGTATATGAAACATTACATGTGAAGTATTGTCTGGGTACTGAGGGGTATACATACATACACAGACACACATCACAGAGAATAAAGACAATTTACATGCAAAAACTATAGAAGATTATGAATTCTGAAATAACTTTGTCAGAACAGAGTATTTCTAAAGAACTAGTGGTTACTCATGGTTAGGGAGGGCAGCGAGATTGAATGATACGAGGGATCCTTGCAATAATCATTCTGTATACTGATTATGGTAGTGGTACATACAAAAGAATCATAATACACAAGTATACTGGGGAAACCTGAGTAAAATCTATGAGTTGTGATCAATGTCATCATCTTGGTTCTCAGGTAATATTACAGTCTCCTAAGAAGTTAACATTCAGAGAAACTAAATAAAGGAATCTCTATTATTTCTTACAATTTTATTTGAATTTAAATTAAAACTGAGAAGCTTTTTTAGAGAATAAAAAGTTTACACTTTCTCTATCTTAGATATGTCATCTCCCCTTAAAATAAAACTCAAAAAGAAAACAAGATTATCAGTGGAAAAAAAAATTTATGTGTAGTAGTAATTCTTCTCCAAGAAATCCAAAGTAAACATTAAGTCTAAATAATTTTCCTCTGTCAAAACGTTCTTAATTTATTTTAATGTGTTAATTTACAATAGTTTAAAGATCCTACACTCTTCTACAAACTTAAGTTGTCTTATACATAGTAATAATAAACTGCTACCTTACGGTTCAGAGGGTGGTGGAAGAATCTTTAATACAAAAGAAAAAATTGTAAAGGGTAAAAGAGGGAAAAGGAGAGTGAAGAGGAGGGTGGATGGGGGAGACTGAATTCAGACTAAGGGATAGAATACGGCCTAAAACAAAGATCGCGCTAAGCTACGCGGTGTTTATGTTTTGTTTTCATTTTAACCTGTTTTCACTCACTTGAAAAAGATTCAAGAATTTCATGTCCCTTTCACTAATCCAAACCAAGAAACACTGTGCACCAGTCTGGAATTCTTTGCTGTGAGGAAACAGGTGATCAAAGGCAGGGTGACAAGTATCAGCACCCTTATAAAAAGGATCTAATCAACGTAAATTCCCATCCAGAAAAATGCCTCCAGGGGCTCTGACTCAACCTGACAAAGTGCCCAAAAGCACTGAAGACAGGAAAAGGGGAGATCGCATCCAACTGGAAGCTTTGCCCTCGCAGCCGGCTTCAGAATACAGGAAGCCAACGCTTCTCTAGCCTTAGACGGGGTGCAGGAACTCGGGGTCCCCTCCCCCCGCAACGCTCAGGCGACCCTGGCAGAGCAGTAGGCTTGGGACTGCGCGGGGTGGTGGGGTCGAGGCGAGGGAGGTCCGAGCCCGGGAGCGGTTCCGGTGAAGCTCACCCGCGTTTTGCAGCGTCTGGATGTTCTGGGGCCTGGTCGCTTGCTCCGCCACCTTCTGCACGAACTGGAGCCTGGCTTTCTGATACTCCTCCAGCCCTGCAGAGGGAAGTTCGCGGGGTAAGGGCTCCGCTGCCAGCCCGTAGGGTGCCTCCCGTCTTCGTGCCCCAGGGCCTACCTTGTAGCACCTGCCTCTGACTCATGGCGCCTGCAGCCCCTCTCTGCTAGGCAGCAGTCCGAAGTCTATCCAATGACTTTGCTTCTGAAGCGGTTAGCTTCGGTTGGTGTACACTCGTCGCCCTGACAACGGATCTCCACCCCCACCGGAGTTGGAAGGGCGCCAAACGCTTTCCTGCGGTCCCGGTGTGACGTCACTGGATGGCAGGCCAGAGCATCCAATCCGAGGACTTTGCACTCGGAACTCCCAGCTGCGCCGCGCACAGCCTTGGCCTGGTGCACTCTGGAATTAGCAATATTTTCTAAAGAAAGGTAAACAGTGTCTCAGCCCAAAGTTTTGTATACTGACTTTTCTCACTTCAGGATTCCTAGTAGTCTGTCGCTGTTTCACAATTCGACTTTCTCGAACTCACTGTTTTGCGGGTTTTCAAAAATATTAAATTATTCCGGATTTTTCGTTATGTGGTGGGATTTTGCTGTACCATACAGTATACTTGTGTTACTCAAATTACGTAGCTTTATGAAATTAGAAAATGGTTAAGAGCATTAGAAGTGTTTCTACAAGTGTGGGAAAGGTTTATAATAAAATATAAATATATATAAATACTAAAATATAACCTCGCTGCTTCGCTGATTTGCATTTATCGAGGGGGTGTCTGGAACGTGACCTCCATTAGTGAGGGACCTCTGTACTTGAGTACTCCACAGTATATTGAAAGCATTTAATAGGCATTCCTAGAGATGCAATGGGAAAGCAGAGTAAGAAATAATAAGATAAAAACTCTCTTTTATGGTAGCTTTCATCTAATGATCACCAGGTTGGGTATGTCTTCATTTTTGTTATTTTTTTAAACATTGTGTCTTTTTAATTTAATTTTGTTTCAGAGTGACATTTCCTTATGAATAGGTGAGAAAACCTTTACCTAGAAAGCTGTACAGCTCTCCTTTAAATAACTTTATTCATCCAGTTTCTTTAACAAAATTTAAGTACTGTACTGAGTCTACTGCCGGTTTCTAGCTTGTCCTTGAAAACTATATGCAAATATGTGACTGACAGAAGAGGTCCGGACACTTGGGGGGTTGAGGGGAGGATTAACATCTATGCACGTGTTGTGCCATATCTTGTTACTTATTCTCTGCTGTTCGCGCCTTTTAAAGCCAACTCTACACGTCTTAAATATGAAGATTTTCTTTTCCGTGGAACACTGAAGTAGGGATGAAGTCACAGCCCCGACTCCTCCAGCTGTTTCTGCGCGGACTTCCTCTCTAGTAAGGCAGAGGTTGAGCTCTTCTTTTTCTCTCTCCCAGGGTAGACCCTCTCCTGCCCCGCCCCCGCAGCCAGCATTTTTCCCCTGGAGGCACCCAGCTGCGGGTGGGAATTAGGATCTAAACTCTGTGCTTTTGATGCAAAGACAGTCACTTCGCAAGTTTTCTAAGGCGGTAGCACACGCTAAAATTCCCCGCAGATTGTTGCTGTTTAGTGTGCACTAGTGAATATCTTGTTTTTAAAAAACTCACTTGTTTTTCCCTGATTAAAAATGTAAATGGCCAGCACCACCAGAGGGCAAACCCTGAGAGCAGCTAAGGAGTTTGTCAGCACTCTCCTGGGCCTGTTGCCTCCCTCTTCTCATGCTGTGCACCTGCTGGAAGAAGGGGGATGTTTCTCCTTTCCCGCCTCCTGGAGAGTTTTAATACACAGCATTAAGAGGCAAAGACAGGAGTAGAGGGCTGCCAGGACGCGTGCTCCCGGGGTCCCTCAAGGCCCTCCAGGGCTCCACTGTGGCCACAGGTTTCCAGCAGGGGGCTAGGGGGGGTGGACGCTGAGGAGTCTGTGGGCTCTGCTCCGCGGCCTGGCATCGGATGGGGCATGGCAGGGCGCTCAAGCAGGAGGCCTCTGCCCTCTCTGGGTGGTAGAACTCTCAGCGTCCCGAAAAAGAGGTTCGTGGGTTCAGAGAAAGAACCAAGCTCCGCCAAGACTCCCACCACTGGCTGGGCGGCTCCCCGCTGACCGGCTATCCTGCATGCCAGAGAGCCCGGGCGGGGGATGGCAGAGGATGGGTGGGTGGACATCGGACCTCTGTTGTAGAACTTTGACACAGTTATGACCTTAGCACCTACAGAAATTCATACCCAAGGGAGACTGTGTAGTTGAGGCAGTTACAGTTTTGTATTTATAATAGTACAATTAGGGACACTAATAATAGGTAATGATATTTAGCAATTGACAAACTTTTGTAACTAATGGGTTTGTATTTTAGACTGTAAGTGCAAACATTATGTCTGTGCATCTAAGCAGATATGAAATTGGGAATTTGTATTTAAGTTAGTTCCTCTAAGTTCTGTCTGGTCACCTTCCCTTGATGTACCTGGGTCTTTCAGGAAGACTAGTTCACCATGGTTACCTGTTATGCCCTCTCCAGATCAAGAGAGAAAGAGAGTATGCTGTCATAGACCTGAGTCTAGCAAATTGTCTCAGCTTATGGGGTCCAGATCTGCCAAGTTCGAACTCTTCCAGATATTCCTGGCTTGAGTCTGACTGCTGTTCTCAGCTTCCTCCTGCTGTAGCATGCCAGGCCTGGGCTCTGGTAGGAAAGGGATCCAGAGAGGGCCCAGGTAGGTCTCACACATGCTGGGCCTGGGTTGGACCTGGGAGGTCTAGGGAGTGTGGCAGAAATTCTCACACACAGGCCTGGGCTTTGGCTAGAGGGGTCTGGCCAGCACACGGAAGGTCTTACAGAAAGCCAGTTCTGGGTTCGGGTTGGAGGGGTCCAGTGGGTATGCGGAAGGTCTCACACCTCAACTTCTTTCCTTAAAGGCTTATCCCTACCTGGTTCACACTTGGAGTTACGGGCAGGAGTGGAAATTTTAATGGGACTCATGTTTGGCTTTGTCTCCCCCAAAAATGAATTTAAAAAGCCATTACTCTATCTAATTTGAACTCTGAGTGGTCTGCTGAACCAGGGAATCAAGAGAAGCAAGATTTTGCAGTTCACACATACCAGCAGAGGGACTGTTTTTTGTTTTTTTTTTTTTTTTTTTTTTCCTGGTTTTGGACATCATATAATTGGCTCAAATGGGACCAAATCACTGGATTATTGATTTTTAGCCCTCAATAAATGTGAGATGTTTCAGTGGCTCTGGGCTCACTTTGAGCTAGACTAATCTCAGTGAGACCTTTTGAAACTATATTCATCAGTCTTCTTGTCATTTCTTTCGGCATTGACTCATAACATAGAACACTAAAATTCATCTGGAACCAAAAGAGACCTAGAATAGCAAAAGGAAACCTGGGCAAAAAACGAAAGCCAGGAGGCATCAGAATGCCTGACTTGAAATTATACTATAAAGCCATTGTGATAAAATCAACATGGGTGGCCGGGAGATGGCTCAGTGGAATAAGCACTTGCCTGGCAAGCGCAGGGGCCTGAGTTCAATCCCTAGTTCCAACTAAAAATTGAAAATTAAAATGAATAAATAAAAATCACCAGGGTATTCACAAAAAATAAATAAAATTGCTCTGAGGTTCAGTGGAACAGATTAGAATATGCAGACACAACTACAAACACACTCAGCCACCTTGTCTTTGACAGAGGGGTCAAACATATTCACTAAAAGAAAGATAGCCTCTTTGATAGATGATGCTGGAAAAATTGGCTCTCCACATGCCAAAAGCTTAATATAGAGCTATGTCTATCACCATGAACTAAACTGCAGTCAAAATAAATCAAAGATTTAAATATTAAAACTCAGACACTATATCTTCTGGAGGAGAAAGTTGGCAGAAATGCTAAGAACATAGTTGTAGTTAGAGAGGTAGAGAGTTCATGAACAAAAGCCAAACTGCATGAGAACTGCATCAAAAACTCAATAATTGGGGTCACATTTTTTTTATGTATTTTAGTACAGGGTCTCCAGGGTCTCACTACACAGATCCTACTCATAGTGATTCTCCTGTTTTCTGCCTCCCAAGCACTGGGATTATAGGCTCATGCTACCACACCCAGTCTCAATCACCATCTCAGTGTGCCCCAAGGTTGGGGTCAGCACAGCATGGTGGGGATCGAACTCTGATCCTTGTGTCTGCCTAAGCAGGTGCTTTGATTTGCTGATTTATCTAGCCAGCCCTATTTATCTTTTTGAAATATTTCTGCACATCAAAAAAAATCACCAACAGAGTAAAAAGAATACACACAAATTGGGAAAAAATTAGAGTGGACTGTCCTTCAGACAGAGGACTCTTATCAAGAACACATAAAGAATTAAAAAGAAAATCAGGCTTTCAAAATTCAAAGACCCATTCTAAAAATAGACATATCAGTTGGATATGCACTTCAGAAATGAAAGGATACAAATGGCAATAAATATATGAAAAAATGTTCAACATCATTAGTCATTCAAGAGATGGAAATTAAGACAGGGGTGAAATACCATCTCATGCCAGAAAGAATGGCTATCATCAAGAAGTCAACCAATAACAAATGCTGGAGAGTATATGTGTAAAAGGAAACCTTCTTCCCTGTTGGTAATAGTGCAAGCTGGAACAACTAATATTGAAGTAAGTTAAGAGATTCCCCAGAAAGATTACAGGTCCCATTCAAGCCAGCTATTCCCCTCCTAGGTATTTTTCCAAAAAAATGAAATGATCGTACCATAGCACTATGAGTACACCATGTTTATAGCAACCCCATTTGTCATAGCTAAATCTTGGTTATAAACCAAATGCCCATCAACCAAAGAATGGATAAAAAAGATACAGTATTTTGGCACAGTGGAGTATTACTGAGCTACAAAAAAGATAAATTTGAGGCTTTTATAAATTGATGGAAATAGAGACTGTATTGGTAAGTGAAATAAGTTAGACACACATATGGAAACATACTGTTTTGTTAGTTTCAGAACCTGAAAATGTAGATATAGTTTGAAAGATACTATAGATACTGTGAAAGGGAAAGAAGCTGTTCAGTGGGAAGGAAAAATGTATATAAGAAAAAGCACAAAAGAAAGAAAGGAAAAATATATATTTAACTATTCAAAAAATTTGCATAACTCATACTGATTTCTGTTGGCCTTTTGAAGCAATTATTTTTCGTATTTTATTCTCATTTTTTTCTTTTTAATTTCTTTTTTCCCATAATTGTATTGAGAAACAAATAGCAATGA